GTATCAGGGATTCGTTTACAAGAGCCAGCTAGTGGAACATCCAAGGGGCAATATACAGTACCAGGAAACTAACATGCCTTTCCAGAGTTTTAATCTTGATCTTTCCTACGTTCTGTTTTTCCCCTCCGGAGCAGTACGAGCTGGGCGAACACATTCTTTTTTCCTGGTTTTCTTTGCATTGTACTTCCATATTTGCCTGCGATTAAAAACTGGTTTCTGTTAATGGAACGCGTAAAGAACTTAGATGCATGACCTTGATGTTCTTTTAAAAAAATAAGAAATGAATAGAGCCTTTTTTCAAAAATTATCAAAAATTAACTGTTGGTTCAAATTCAAAGATGCATGTACTGACAGTGACTCAAGCAATCTTTTCTGTAGTCTTACACTGTCATCTTTCCATTGTTCAAGCTGTAGAAGATCAGTGTTTGCTTATTTCATGTTATTCAATTTATTTATTTAGTCAGATTTGTCAGATTCAAGAGGGACCCCAGGTGGTGTGCCAGTTGACCCTGGAAATGTGTTGTGTGCACTGAAAAATTTAGATGGGTTTTCATATTTTCTATTTTAATAAAATAAGTTTATGTGTCAAATACACAGCCTATGTACTTAGCTAAGACACAATAGAAAACAGAAACATATTTAAGGACTGTTTTAGGTTAATTTGAGAAAAATACACTGAGCATCTTCGTGTTTCACTCCCATGTGCATAGAATACAAATTTCTGTTAACTTCTGAGATGGACTCCTGACTGTCTTTTAGGGGGAAATGGGGAAAAATGCAAGCTTGCAGATTGCTAAAGCAGGTAAGCCCCACACTATTGGCGAAGATCTTTGTTTACTGTTGGCAAAAGAGCTGACACGTATTATGTGTGGGGAAAAAGCTGCTAAACAGCTTGACCCGCTGCCCCTTTCAAATGACAGTCACTTGTCGAATTATTGATATGGCAGATGATGTCAAAAGTAAAATGATAGAGCGCATTAAGATGAGCACAGATGCTTTTCACTGCAATTAGATGAGTCAGTAGATGTCGTTCATTTGGCCAATTTGCCTGTTTACGTTAGATATGAGTTTGAGGGCATGTCCCATGAGGACCTTCTGTTCTGTAAGCCGCTACCAAGAAGAGCTACAGGATAGCACATATTTCAGCTTCTGAATGAATTTGAATGACATCGACCGAAAAAATGCGTCAGAGTTTGTACAAAGCGATGCTGGAGGTGCTAGAGCGATGACAGGCCGACACAGCGGTGTGGTTGCATGAGTTAGAGAGGATGCTCCAGATATGAAATGGACACACTGCAGCATCAACCGTGAGGCCTTGGCAATCAAGAAAATGCCTGAGGAATTACATTCCGTTGCTGTCGAAGTTGTGAGTTGTATCAAGGCTTGGCCAATGAATTCACGTCTGTTCAGTGTGCTTTGTAATGAAATGGGCAGTGAACATGTGCAGCTTTTGCTACATAATGAAGTGAGATGTTATAAATGGGCAAAGTGCTCACGAGGCTCTTTGAACTGCACTCCGAGGTACAGATGTTTTTGCATGACCAGCAACAAGCTCCCTTGGCACTTTCACTGCTATTAAGAAAAAGCTGCAGCTTTTTGTTAATAAAATCAACACAAGTGCTTTCCCAACTTTGGAGAACTATCTGCACACGTATGGTGTGGCACTTGATGCTGCTGTTCATGATGTGATTGCAGTGCACCTCTTGTCATTAGAAGAACAGTTCTCAGAGTATTTTCCAGTTGAGGCCACACCAGAGTGGATCAGGAACCCCTTTACTGTTGATGTCATAGGAATACCCAGGGATCTGACATGGGCTGAGCAAAAGAAGTCGCTCGAGTTATTATCTGATACGACTTTGATGTCAGAATTGAAACGACAGTCACTGTTGGATTTCTGGATCCAAAGACAGAGTGAATACCCAGTCCTCTCATTAAATGTAGTGCAGTTTTTGATGCCTTTTTCTACTACCTACAGTACCTTTGTGAGACAGGCTTCTTTGCTCTCACTGCAATTCAAGACAAAGTACCACAACAAAATGGATGCTGAGCCAGATCTGTGCTTGAAGCTCACTGCCCTCATCCCTGACATTGTAAAGTTTTGCTCAACTAAACAGGCTCACCCCTCTCACTGAAATGGTAAGTGCTCAGTGCTATTTTTATTATATGCGTGTGTGAGTGTGTGTGCGTGCGCGCTCATGTTGGTTACTGAGATTGTCTGTGATTCCTATAAGAACATGACTTGTAGGTGGTACCTGGATGCTTTGGTTTGATCAGGGGTGGTACTTGGTCCAAAAAGTTTGAGAACCGCTGGATTATGGTAATTGATTCATCGCAGTTCAATCTCAAATGCACCCAGGGTACCAGAGATTTGCAAAGGTCAGTCTTCAACCTTTTGCACGTAATTGTTTATGGTGTCATTTTTTGAATTAAGTCAGGGTACAGGGTTCTACAGCATGGCTGCACACTAAACCAAACAACATCAGATTTCTCTTTCATGTTTTTTTATTTACAGTTTAGAAATATATGGACTGTTTTTTAAGTGTTGGTATTCTTTTTTGCTTTTTAAGTATGGCTTTGATGAAGTAAAATGTGCAGCCATGAAACACAGTTCTATTCCCTATAACCGAGATGAAAGTAGACTGAAGCTTGTCTGTTTGATGTGCCCATTGTTTGAAGTCGTTTCCCAAGAAACTGAAGAGCCAAAGTGTTGAGAAGCACTTTTTATCAACTCCTAAAGTGCTTGATTTTCTTTCAAAGCAATAGTTCAACCAACTGTTTTATATAACAATAAGAGGACAGATTTATTTATGCACAGTGGTACAGTCTTCTTTGTTTAATGCTCCCCATCAACTACATTGAGTTCTGGAAGTATGAAAACATACAATGAGTCTTTCAATGACAATGAAGGTCAATTTTTTAAGGGTATTTCGCTCTCTAGAGTATTTTGTTCTTAAAATGTTTGATGTAATACTTGTTGTCTTCTAACGTTCTAATTGAGACATTCAGGCATACACACTAAAAAGCTTAAAAAGGATAGTTGTGAATAAGCCACTATTAATTTTAAAGGTTGTAAGAAGTAAAACCAACTACTTTAATTTACATCCACAAGAGAATATCCTTTATTCTAAGACCGATCTCTTGGTTTGCAGCTGGAATGGGAGCCCAGAATTTTCTTTAGTTTTGAAACTCCTTTGTTTATTTATTTTTTTTAGATTTTGTCATCCTTCCTAGGTAGTGGGCAACTGCTGCTGTTTCCACGGTAAAGAAGAAGGAGGCTGGAACAAGCTACCCAGCCATGCTGTTGAAGACGATAACCTGGTTTCTGTCAAGCCACAGCTGGATGAGATCCTAGAATCCATGAACTACTAACTTCAAAAAAGGGTGCATGTGCTTAATGGCCTCCTGTTTGTAATCGTTTTTTATGTTCTTAAGTTGGAAGAATTTAGCTATTCTGAATGGGCTAAGGGCAGCTGCTCTGCTGAAGCACAGCATAAGACACCCTGTAAGATGAACTCAGTGAGCTTCCAGGTCGCTGCACTAACTGAGGACTCCAACATTCAGATGCAAACTATTCAGCAACTATTCTCAAATCTGGTCACAGTCTTGGAAGGGCATAAGGAACAAGCTCTTAATGAATGCCCACACCGTAAAGATGAAGAGTCTGGAGCTCAAGGTCGTGTGTCTGGATGATCGCTAACACAAATGGTGTAGGTGTACCAAAGGGATGTTAATAAAAATTGGTGCATAAAAAATAAATACCACACACTGCAATAATGATGTAGAGCACTTTTTGAATATCATGCCATTAAATGGAGACATGATTAGTGACAATGTGCCATACTTTGTCAGACAGATGACTGCAGAGGAAGAAAGCAATTTTTGGAGGTCAAACTATTTTGGAAATCTGGCTACTCCAATGAGCTTGGAACAAAACATCATATAATTATTCCAACAGTCAAAGGAAGCAAATCTCTATATTACTGAGTAACAATTAAGATAATGATTTTTTTAAAAACCTTTGTGAAATCTATCCGATTATAACATAGGAGCAAGTCTGAAAAGCTAATGAATGAAGAATTCAGCAATAACAGAAAACCCCCTTATCCTTTGAATGGCTGGGGAACCAAAATGGTGGCTGAAATTGCATTCACAATACTGCCACGACAATAGCAATTACATAATTTTTAAAGTCATATACTTTTGTATTGCAAACTCTTGACATGATCTATAACCAGGAATTATTTCCTAGGTATTCCTAAAATCATTCCTTCATCAAAAATTTAGTTTGGGTAGAAGAAATATAATGATAAATGAATGAACATGAATGGCCTTAACAAAAGTTAATCTTTTCTTTTTCTGGATATTAGAAAGTTTGACTGAAAAATACTTTCAAATACTGAACCATGGTATTTTCTTTTGTTTAATGAACTTTTACACACTGGAGTGGTATTTGTGCAATCTGTTATTACTACAAATCACATTATATATACAGTATATTAAAACCTGAGATGTTTTATTCACAATAGAGAAGTGTGAGGATTACTAAACTCCCTCATCTTTTGTGTCTGGACTCCTAGAGTTTAGCTCCTTTAGCTTTTTAAGATACTTGTTCTGTATGAACTGTGCTCCTTACCACGCAACACAAATTCTCAACACCACAAGCAAAATACAGACACTTTAAAGACATTGCTTCAATGTGTTTAAAATCAGGTAGGAACAGGTAGGTTTCATTTCTCTCAAAAGAATCCCTGCAATGGAAAATGGATGTGTAAAATTTTGAATTTTATGGTAAAGGTCACAGTTTAATCACATTTCGATCCCAAGCGGGCAGCACAAGGTTATCAATGTTGTGATTTTTTATTTGGGTTTTATCCCTGAGTTTTACAAGCACATGGGGAAGGATGTTAAAGGAAATGGTCAGGGAACAAGTATCGTGGAGGAGGACGTACTTGAAAAATAAAGAAAGGAATGCTGAAATGAAAGAAGAGATCGTGCGTTACCTTAAATAGCAGTCTGCTCATGAGCTGCTTGCAGAGATGAGTGGGCCAGCTGACGTTCTGGTACAAGTCCGTGTTGACCACTCCAGGGTCCACGACGTTGGCTGTCACATGGCTCCCTTCCGCAGTGAGAGTCTGCTGCAGGTAATAGCTGAACAGGACAAGGGCAAGCTTGCTCTGGGCGTAGGCCCCATGAGAGGAGTAGCAGGATCTGAAATGGAAGCAAATAGGGAAGACGTTATATACGTAATAAAGAACATAAGAGCAATTACAGTGGTTACAGGCCCATAAGGTGGTCAGTTGTTAATTAATTTAAGAATCACAGCCAGGCCCTTCTTGAAAGAAGCCAGGGTATTGACTTCAGCAACGTGGCTGGGCAGCTTGTTCCACACTCCCACCACCCTTTGTGCAAAGAAGTGCTCCCCCTGTCCCGATAGGGGGATCTTATCCAGGCTTTTTTTTTGAGAAATCAGGGCACTGACTTTAAGGACATGGTTGGGCAGCTTGTTATTGATTCCCAGAACTCTCTAGGTAAATACGTGCCTCCTGTTCCTGGTTTTAAATGCACTTCCACCCTATCTCCATTTCTAATCATTATACTATCCCTAACACAAGCTAGGACTCCTGACATGCAAGATGTTCTGCTTTATTATGAATACTTACAGTATGTATCTGTAATGTCTTTTGATACAGTCAGTCTCAATTAAGAATCTTGTCAAAGCATCATTTGTAGCTTCTATTAAAGTGTTATGTAGCTTCCGTGATCGATCAGGCGGTAATAGATGTTATTTTTTTATTGATGGTCACCATTACAAAATATTAATCAGGGGAATTAACAAGATAGATTTGCTATATAATATGACAGATTGTAAAGCTGAATTTTTATGTGACCTGAAATGAGGCTGCATTTTACAAATTATGTACACTTACTCTAAAATGTCAAATACTTCAATGGTAGAAACTAGGCCAATGGAAATTGCTTCAGCTTAACATCCACCACATAACACATATAAGGTAGAGAGATATTTTATAAGCAAAGAAAATTCAACATCTGGTAACTTTAAAAAATTATTTATCAAACTGCAGTTTCTTCTCCAAATTACATCCTAGTACTTCGAACCCATTTCTCTCATGAGACACAAGAACACCAGATCAGTTACTGATGTGCTATTTATCTTTTATTGAAGTGTGCTGCTTTCACAGTCATGATTTTTATGGCAAACTGTCAAAAAAAAAAGTTTTTCTGGTTTACTCTGTGCTTTCAGGTTTTGTTTTTTTATTAGTTTGTGCTGTTTTATTTTGATTTTTTCCCACTGTTGAGTGCCTCTTGACTAGATAATACTAGATATTCATAAATGTAACACGGGCAAACATAATGAAGAGGGGCGTGCAGAGTAGGTGCAAGCTCAGGGGGAAGGCAAGAGATTTTATTTTAACTTTGGACATTTTACATTTCTGAGAAATACAGCCTGAATACTGATGACAACTGTGACGTACTGCCTTGTGAAAAACTATTTACCATGTTTCGCCTGCAATAGCCCAGTTCTCACAGGAAGATATGGGGAGGAAGCAGGAATAATCGCGCATGCTGTCTTATATAAGAAGAGTCTATTGCTAACTTTGTACTAACGCCACACTTCTTGAGACGGCAACACTCACAACTCATCTGTCGCCTACTGTTCTTCATGCTACCTCAGCCACAGACAAAGACAGAAACTGTCTCTAATCGCTTCAATAAGGCCGCTGCTCACCATACAGCCTGTGCGTGTAGCGGTCATTTGTTCTCATCATTTCCCTGTAAGAGGGTAACAGAATTTGAATTTCCTTCACGGCCGAGCAGACAGCACCAGTGCGGGGCTCATGGGCCGCAGTGTGAATGCTGAGAGAATGCTGATGCGCTCTCTGCCACTGGGGGAGCCACGCTGAGGAGCTCCCGCTTCTCCTAACAGGTGTTTGCTTCCCCAGATATGAAAGAGGTCATTAGCAAAATACTACTGTGGCATGTAATTAGTTATAATTGCCCTCCTGATGATTTTACCAAGTAATTTAAGGGCTGACAACTCTAATTAAATTGTCTGATTTGCTGATATGTTTAACACCTTTTTACAAGTTCAGAACACCAGCATATAAAAGTTAGGTTTCATGTACAGAAATATTCCCAAATGCATTATAAGGATTGGAAAGAAAAAAAGTGTGCTCAATATCTAGTCATTCTGAAGCTGTCTTCATTTTATTTCCTCAGAATGCTCCATTGTCTCAGAAAACAGTACTATCGATGGCCTAGGAAGGAAGATTTATTTTTCCTTTGAACAAAAGTGATGGAGGAGTGAACAACAAATGAAATATTTTGACTAGATCACAAAGCACTTAATCAATAAAATATCGGTGCCAGCAACGGGCAAGGACAGAAGGCCCAGTCTTGCACAGAAGTCAAAATGTTACAAGTTTACAGGATGCATGCATGGATGTTGTACTCATTCTCTTGTGCTGTCTGGTACACAGAGCAAGGCTTGAATCCAAAGAAAAATAGGATCAATCCATCCATCCTGAAGTCATTACCAGTGTCATTAATATAAACAATCTGAAAATACATTTGGTAGAATCATTTTAAATGCAACATTGATGTTGCCACGTTTTGGCACACATAAGATGGTGATTTAACTAATAGTGTTGCATGAGTCGGAGGTCTATATGAAGAGGGTTCATTGCAGAAAGCTCACATTGAAAAGGCCCGCTATCATTTTGATCCAGAGCACCTGCCTATCTTAGAAATTCTCCACCTTTGCTGGAAAAACATTGTTCGATTTTTCCTTACTCCGAGTCAGAATGCGCACCATACTGAGGAAAACTCTAAGTGTTGGAGACAGTGTGGAAACCAAGGTAATCATTGGCATATTCTGGAATTGCCCTAAAATAAGGCTTTTCTGGAAGGAATTACATGAGGCCTGGGAAACTGTATTTGAAAGGAATGTAGCCTTTGAGGCTTTATATTTTGGTAAACTGGATTTTAATCGGAGGGGAACTGATGAATATTTTTTTGGACTCCTTATATCAGCAGGGAAGAAAGCTATAACAAGAAAGTGGCTTCTCACAGATCTACCAACAATGAATGATTGGATTGAATTAATAAAGGAAATACATATAATGTAAAAAAAAACATTTTCACTAAAATTACAAATGAAACAAATTGTCAAATATTGGTCTAGATGGGTTCAGTACATTAAACCTTTAAGGTCAGATTTTGTTGAGATACAAAATAACTGAAATTTAATAAGATACATTTATATACAGTAGTCTCCTCCCTTTTCATATTCATAAATGTATACATCTTCCTTCTTTGGAATGTAAAGTTTTGTTAAAAAGTTCTATAATTGCAAAAACCTAGGGGAACAAACAGGAATTTGTGCCTGTGATGTAAGGCTGAATAATGGTTGTTCATATGTAAAATGTTTTTGTTCTCTAAAATAAAAGATTTAAAAAAAGAAATTCTCCACCACTCAGCTCTAAAAAAGAAAGAAAAGCCCCTGACAGAAGACAAGGTTTTTTTACATTTTTATTAAATAAGAAGAGCAGAAGTGCCCTTGGCACAACACTTCTCATGACTATCCACCAGCGCAGCTCACCACAGGCTCTCGACGTTTCACATGTGCAAAAGCAGTTATTAATTAACCAGAAATGTCATCATTTTAATCTTTGCTGCAGACTTGGTGAGGGCAGCCCCGAGCTGCATTAATAGGAAAGGACACGTTTGAGCCAAACAACTGTACTAATTTCTCCACCTGAGCATCATTCAGAGGACGGGGTGGGTGTCTACAGTCCTACAGGTGTTATAGGTCGCTTTCAGAACACGGACAAGTTTGAGACCTGGGACACAATGTGTGCTGACTATCAAAATTATTACCGTGATGCAGTCATTAAAATGTAAGGAAATATTAACGCCAAGGCCTTTGAAAACTGGATGGTGACGGAGATACTGCCGCCCTTCCTGTTTTTGTGATCTTTGACTTGCCCCCTGGCTCTTAAAGAGAAAACACTCCCCATGTCTTCTTTTGCCTTGCAGCTATAAAAGTAAAAGGAAATCTGTGCATCATGTGCAAGTGTGTCATATATACAACATACTGCACTTTCAGAGTCTCGATGGACTTGTTATCCCTTCTCCATACAATTTTCATACGCTTGCATAACATAAACTAATATAAATAGAGCACAGATAAAGGAAAACAATTGTTACTCACAGAATCCCAAGGCATAGCTACAACTACTGTAATAAAACAAAGGATGCAAGTGAACAGTTTGCTCACTGGGCAATGTCCAATTTTGAAATCCCAGAATTAGTAAAATGGCACGGCAGTGATCTCTCGGCTTGTGTACTTCAGAAATGTGTACTGTAGCTAGATATAAAATCGACCATAAAATAAGAAGCAAATTGTACAGTAAATAAGGAAACATTTTCAGGGAAATAACAGCAGCCTTACTTTTTTTTTGAAGGGAGGGAGGAGAAGTTTACAAGGATTATATATCTAGCAGCTTTAAAGAAAAACACAGAAAGACTTTAAAGTCTGAGGAAAGCTGTCTGAATGGAGCTCTCCAATGCATAAGAAAGGCTAATTCTTTCTCACTGGAAGGCGTTGAATGGATTACGTGCAAGTCATCTTGCTCATTTACAATTTCCTCCTCATTTTGCTCTATGCACTGTGTTGGTACATCAAGTTTTGATCCTAAGGTAAAGTATTCTAAATAAAATGCCATCTGGAGCAAACAGCAGTGAACACGTTATGTACAAATGGAGCCACATTACTGATAGTAAATCTAATTAAAATTTAAAACAGTTACAGGTAATTGCCATAATAAAGCAAACACTCTATAGACAGAATAAAATTTTATTCATAAAAAGTTGTATAAAATATATTTCCACCAGCAATACTAAATTAAACTGCTTTAAAACACATCCAAATCACTCTGTCTTAAAGGCAGAAATCTGTTCTAAAACAAGGAAAAGGCTTTTCTTGCATTATCTCAAGTTTACTATTTTCCAGATTTGACTAGGTAGAAAGATAACATTTTTGATAAAGCCATAAAACACAGCAGCTGTCTCTGCTAGGTGGTGATTTGCTAACAACTGATATTACCAGCACAGTTTGCAATAGGTAAAAAAATGCAGCATTGTTCTCAGTGACGGAATATGTGAACTGTGAGCACTGAGCATCTGTTGCTCACTTCATTTCCGACTCTTAAACTTACCCAACACAAAGGACTGGTCTCCCCACACAGCTAGACTCCTTCTCCTGTGTTCTTTACCTTTATACAGATCAACCTCATGAAGACCAGCTGCATTAGATGCCTGACTTGCAACCTTGCATGCAATTTCTCTCTGGGACTGGCTCCGAGACAGCTGGTCTATTACCACACCCAAGGCCAAAATAAAACTCAGGACCCGAAAACCGGGAAACACCCGTGATGCCACCATGCCACCCACGAGTAATAACATACTGAAGAAAAAATAAAAAGCAAAGCACTTTTTTGCTCCTATTCAGAAGCAAGTAAGGCTTCAGTTCAATACAGTTTTAAGCCTCTGAAAGATAACTGCTGCACATGAGGAAAAAAATGGCTTCCTTCGCAGCTTTTTGACTTTTCATTTTACTTTTACAACTTCATCTAAAATACTTAGCCTGCTCTTTCCACTCATTGGACTGCAGTCAGTCAGTGTCTCTTCCAAGAGCTGAAGGACAGATGGGTTTGTTGTCACCCACTGTCTGAACCACAGTGTGTCCTACCAATCTGTCGCTGTTGTCAAGTCTTGCAGTCCTATGTACGATTTTCACAAGGAAAGCCTGTTCTTCTATCAAGGGGCAATTGTAAACAGTCATTTGTAGCTACTCACGACCTGCTAACAAGAAGGTCAATAGCAAAGACACATTGAGGGGATGTGAATAAAGACTGGCACACTAATATTCCAGAGTTCAAAACCCGAAGAATAAGTATGTGACAGCAGATTCAAGTTGCAGCATGAATCATTTCTAGGACAGCTCTCTTTAGTTCCAAACTTTTCACTTGTCTCATATTTTACTTAGGTAAACTGCGAGAAAACCATCTTTGCCATTTTTAACAGTATGAGCATGGTAAATTACGTATCCAAACTGGTGGCTATTATTATTCATCCATGATATCACAGATGTCTATAAGCTCCTGGATGAAATACAGTAGATCTGCGGACAAATGGCTTGCTTTGCTCTTGTTTTTCCTTACCATTTTAGGGGAAAAGATGTGATATTGATCCAGGCAAGCAGACTATAAGCTCTGGTAAGGAGCCCAGAGTAAAGACTTAGTGAAAACTCTCCCTGTTGTGCTGTTCACTCACAGACTGTAGACTATTCACAATTCAATTTAAAAAACAAAACAAAACAAATGTGTTTCTGTCTTTATCTTTATTTCAGATTCAGCAGGTGGTACCCTGAGTTATCACTGTCCTTTTAAATCTCTGCCATATCATGGCTAATGGACTGACACTGCCAGAGATAGTGAAACACGGCCTTCACAGCTGTCTGAGAAAAAAAAAACAGCTGTCTAAACAGAGGTATACAGAATGGCTGGTGAACAAAGCATGATGATAACTGCCCTTCAGGAGCTCTTCCAAAGATTATCCCCAAAACTATTTGTACTATGAACATTATTCCAAAATTAAATTTTACAGTGAAGCTTCGTCAGATGCCAGGCTTTAGAATTGCATCAGAGGATTGCAATGTGTAGATTTTGATTTTTTAAATAATATGTACAATACTCTTTCCCTTTCTTGGGCACATTGTGGAAGTGTTTCAAAGACTGTTGTGTACAGGACCTTATTTTAACACCTCAGCACCACAGCACTTCCTTTTCCCAAATCAACTCCTTTTCATCTTTTGAAAAGCATCTACTAGGTTCTTATTCAGGTGGATGAACAGTCCCAGGATATTTTGGAACAGTACTTTATTTTACTTAGAGATCCATTTTAAAAAATGCTAACCAGACCCATCTTAATATCAGCTGAGGCTAAGTGGCTGAACAGCTACATGCGTTTTTTTCTCCAATTTGCAGCTGCATTTTATTAAACAAAACTGGAAAAGAATAACAAAAATACAAAAAGCAGGAACCCTGGAATTCCGTCACCATTATACTGTAACTGAAGTGAGTAATAAACCACACCTGACATGAGACGATTAGCTCCAGTTTTTAAGATGATGTCACTTGCAATTTTCAAGACTGCAGATCCAATATGGAAGACGTTGTACTGTAAGACTCCAGAAACATGACACACAGGGTGAGGCATGACACCTCCACACCTTTTCAAGAGTTTGGAACACCAGTATCTAAAAGTTCAGTCTCATGTACAGAAATATTCTGAATTCATTCTAAAGAATGGAAAGAAAAACACTGTTGAATATCTGAAGTAATTTTGCTGATTTACATACTTTGTTTTTTCTCTAAATGCTCCAGAAAACAGTACTATTGGTGGCCTAAGAATACTGTATATTTTGAACAAATGTAGAGAAGCTCAGAAATCTTTGATTCCATCACAATTCAAGGAACGTTTTCTCTATTCAGACTTCACACAGAGTCATAGATCCATAAACATCATGTGCAAATGAAAAATCATTAGAAAATAATTTTGTTTTATCAAAAACAACATATACAGCTTTATGTGACACTGTGATTCAAGGGAAGATTTGATTGGCTTAATGAATTTGTAGAAGACAAATCAGATGGGCAGAAATATTATTTCTAGTTATTATTATATTTTATGTGAAAGTGTTTTGGAATCAAGTTTTTTTTCTCTGTTTCCAGGAATTTCACAAAACTTTCTGTTTTTTGTCCTGCATTTATATCAAATAAATAACCTTATTTTTTTTACCAAGAAATTAAATGGCACAATTTCCTCTTGCCCTAACCATTTTGTTTTCTTTAAAGCAGACCAAAAAGGTAATAGATTACTGTAGTACCGGCTCTGTAGATCCTCCAGGTTGATTTCACCCACAAAGTGTGTGGCAGAAGAGACTGTGACGATACGAGCACAGGAGTCCTGCTTCCCAGAATGCTTCAGGGTGTCTAAAAGTAGCTGTGTCAGCATGAAGTGCCCTAGGTAGTTCAATCCAAAGTGTGTCTCGAAGCCGTCCTCTGTCTTCCTCTCAGGAACCAACATGACACCAGCTGAGCACAGAAAGACAAAAAATAAATAGCTCAAAGGGAGTAGAAAATAAATTTGTCAACCACACGTCACTTGGGGGTTATTATTGTTTTGGATGGTTCTTTTGTTTGTGAGAGTTTAAAACAAGAAAAATGTGGTACACAAAACAAAAAAAATAATGAGCCTTGCTTTTAGTTTTGAATCCACTCTCCACCTCTGGAGTTTTAGTGGTTAAGGATCTTAGAGAAGATTCTCTGAAGGACTGCAAAAAGTTAGCTATACTGTCCAATTGAATTTTTGAATTATGAAAGTAGACAACTGGCTTTGTTAAATCTGTTCAGGACAGTTCAGCGTTAGTTTGATAAAAATGTCAAGAAAGTATATGAAACAGACATTTGATTAAATAATCTCCATTCTCTCAGCTCAAGAGATGATAATGAAGTATAGACTACATAAGCAAAAAACAAATGCAAACAAAAAACAAAACAAATGCAAACTAATCTATAGGAGTTTGGAAAATAAATCTCCTACAATTTTAATTAGAATAGGTATTTTTGTAGTGACTTCATGTTAATGTTCCTACAGTGCAATTTTATTAGGTTTTTCTGAAAACAAAGGTACACTTTTCCATGCCCCTGTATTATATGCCAGCCTTTTCATTCCTTTTCTAAAGTACTTTCAAACTCATGCTCAAAGAAGGCTGACTGACAGAAATATATTTCTAAAATTCCTGTACACAGTGGGTGTCTTTTGAAATCCTCTACAGGTTTGAGCTCTAGCTGTAACTTTTCTGCCTACCTATTCTAAACAGAAATGAAAAGAGTGCTTGGTTCTCGGGAACAGGCTGATGGCCCGTTGGTCATGGGCCTGAGACATTGTCTTCTTTGAATTTGAACTTCGCTCCTCACCAACAAACCCAGACAGTTAATTAGGTGTGCAGCAGCCAAGTGTAGCTAAGCAACATATGCCATCTGTACTTGTTGAAACTTTTGCCTAGTGTGAGGCCCAACAGATGGCTTCTGTGTCACCCTCTGAGGTACTGCCTAAACTATAACTTGTTGAAATAAACAGCATGTTCTCAAAAGCAGTCTCAACCAGGAAAGCATTTTCTCTCAAGTTATGCTTGAAAGCTGAGGGTGACTATATATTGGTTTCCAAAGGTAACATCAACATGCCACCAGTTTTCATGGACATCCTTGTCAGACTGGCATTTCTCTCCTTTTTCACTGTTCTCTGCTCAGTGAAAATGGAGAGCCAACAAGCATTTCCATAGTTAGATGTTTCCTAAATGTCCTGTTCCATCAGAATCTTTCTCCTTGAAGCGAGAGAAGGCCATTTGTTCTTCTCCTGAATGGATCACACCATTCTTTCCATTACTGACACAGGTCAGCTGTTTTCAACAGGTGATTATATTTTCTTTGTATTTTGTGTTCTTTATTCCATTCGAAAATTTTTTTTTTTACTTTATTGCCCATGATTTGGAGCTACTTTTAGAGAAAAACTGAAGCCCTGTCAGGATCTGGCCAGGTATCTACAGCTACTGTACGTCAACACCCAACTTCAACACCCATGGCTTGCCAGAGCTCTGCCCTCATTCCTGCCCGGCAGGGGGGCAGGAGTGAGGACCGCACGTCCAGCCTCTGAAAGACCCATTTTTGGAGCAACATACAGTTATTTGCAAAGAACATCACTCTGTGCCTAAAGGAGAGATAACATTGGAGAATCTCTAGCTGACAGTGCTGTAGGCTCAACTGTAGAGTTGTAGAGTGTTAGAGCTAGAATAGGAAACAACATACTAATACACAGAATACTTTGTAAATCACTGGGCAGATGAAAAAAATAGAGAAAATAATAAGAATTTTCTGAGAGTATTAGTCTCACATGTCAAAAAAACAACGTCAGATCCATCTTTAACATTGGCATAAACCTGAGTTACGAAATGAGTAAACCTATTATTCAAAGACACTAAGCCCAAGTAAGAATATGGCTATTTCAGTATTACCCATTAGTTACCTCCATTATATTTGATATTTAGCAGGAGAGCGTAAAAAATGCAAGGGGTCGATATGGATCCTGAGTTACATAATATAAGAAGTGCTTCCTGTTCTCAATAAGAACATAAGAAATGTTACAAATGAGAGGAGGACTTTTGGCCCGTCTATCCTATTTGGTAGCTGGTAGATGATTGATCCAAGGATCTCATCCAGTATTTTTGTGTGAAGAAGCCAAACAGAAAATGTTCACTGACCCAACAATGGGCTTAGTGAACACCTACTGTTAGACTGATGAGAGGTGTTAAACTATGCATTGCACATGATTCTGGAATGCATCTACATCAATGAAGATTTGCAAAGGTTAGTCTTTAACCTTTTTCGTGTAATTAGATTATCTATGGTGTGGAACAAATAACCATTCCCTTTGCCTTCAGCTGTGGATCCTGATATTTGTCTGAAAAGTGACTTATGGAAATGTGGTTTCTGCACCCTATTATCTGAGAGAGATAGGAGAAAGCCATGGCAACACTTTGCAGATGCACAAAAGCTTAAAGACTTTATTTTTTTTGCATACATTTGTCACCTCAAACACACCAGCCCACTGCTCTAGTATTCTGTAACAGCAATGCATGGGCTCATTTCCTTTTTTGGCAGTTTGATAAGTGAGAATGTATTAATCTTAAACAGTGTTGATTAAAAAAATGCCAGCTTATCACAAAGACACATCTTGGCTATTAGCATTCAGTTGGTTCCCTGGACATGAAGCACAGTCAGCAGGGGAAACACTGAGAGGGAAATCAGAAGAGCAAAGAAAAATGTCTACTCTTTCTTGGTAAAAATGTGCACCACACAAAGAATCATCTTCGCTGTGTTCTTGGATAGCCATTCATCCTACCCTTATTGCTGGGTAAATGAAGAACAGTGTTGTAGTGGCAAGCATCTGGCAATTTAAAACACTTTTGCTGGAAGTTAGGTGATTAAGACCTCCAAGACATGCCTGTGTTTTTAATTCTCAGCCCTAGCCCTGGATGGACACTGCATCTTCTGGCTTGTGCTCTAGTCAAGTCCTTAATCACCGGACTCAGTTTGCTATTTGCTTTTATTCACTAAAATGTGGCACTGGGATTTATAGTCGGTATCAAACCTGTTCCAAGTTTCCCCGAGTTTCAGAACTGCTGTCATTCAGTGTTTTTACTTGAAATGTAACCAGTTGGGTCTTTACAGAAGGACAAGAAGCACTCCTTCTGGGCATGCTTGATCCTGTGTCACTCACACTGTGAGCCTGTCTCACACTGCATCACTCCCACCTGCATCTGTTCATCATCCATTGATCCACTAGGAAGAGCTGTTTAGTCAGAAATAACGGCAAGTTGAGGAGAGGCTCTGTACAGCTCTGCGTGCTGCAGCTCTTGGAGTTGGATACTGACACTCAGGATTGACAGAAAAAACAAGATTAGCAAAAGTCTAAACCGCAAACAGCCATCAATTAACACTGGAGATGCAGGGCTCAGCTGGAATGAAAAACAGCAGACACAGTGTGTTCATCCAGGACCAGGGTTCAAAACTTCTGTTCTTAGGAATTCTTTGTCTTGAAAGATTTGGAATTATTTAGGATTTCAAAGTTCTCTGTAGAAGCAGCATAATTTGGGTTAAATCTACATCCCTCCTGCTCAACACAAACGACACCAGAGCCCCTTTCCACAAAGATATTCTTGCTTTGCACTTGCTTTAGCCAAGTATTGACTTTATATCACTTTAGACTCAAACCGATGTTCATCTGAGACTTCATCTTGTGACACATTTTTCTTTCCATATAATGACTGCAGATGCAAAACATGAGAATTTCAAAATCTGTCTCTTAGACTTCTATGGGATTATTATTATTCCATCCTCAGATCTAATGGGACTAAAGCGTCCTATAAAAGAAATCTCTCATTACCTAATCTGGGCCCAATGTCCAGCAGGCTGCTTGCTTGTTCTCGTGTTAATAATTTCTTTGGGTGATGCTTTTATCCAAAGCAACTTGAAGGCATATTCAGTGACTAATAATGACCTACAGTGGGTATGGTATCAACCATGCCGTTACTGCTATGTTCTCAACTCTTATTACTATTATTATTGTCACAATGTATCACATACTGGGAACTGAGGCACCAGGTATCTTTTTGCTCACTGGGAGTATGTGTTTTCCTCTCCTCTGCCCACATGGTCAACTGTTATTATATTGCTAACTGCTAAAAAACTCTGTAAAGCTCTCTGTGTGTTTATAAAGGGAACTATAACAAATTCAAGACTGACCGACATTGAGGTGCACGGTGCAGTGAAAAAGTCACAACACACTATATGCTTGTATGATCATTAGCACTGCACTGTTTAATGTTAACAGTTAAGGACCTGAATGAAGCTTCCTGTACAACAAATACAGATGCTATTCAATTTAGTCTTTAGAACTAAACATCTAGGATCATAGGCTAAAATCTTAGGAACCATGAACTATGGGTTGTTGGTTTGATGAGACTTGATTGACTTTCCAAGCCAGAACAATCCCCCCAAATCTTAATCCTATTTAAAAAGTGATCAAACCAATAGAAGGAACAGGTCAATCCTGTTCACCTCATCTAAACCCCACACTGCAGGTAATCCTGCTAAAAGAATGGAATGAGATTGAAAATTATTTCAGAACATTACAGGCTACATGTCACATTCTGTTCTCAGTGCTCACAGAGTCATAAAATAGTTCCTTATATTTTGGCAAGTTTGTGTATTTGTTAAGGTAGTAATCTGCCAACTGCAGCTGCCTTGTCTTGAGCACAGACAACCCTTCTTAATGAGAAAATTATTGATTTTAACCTGAACCATAGCTCTAAAGGAACAAGCAATTCCAAGCCGAAAAGAAGTAGAATGTTGTCTTGAGAATGTTCCAGAACTTAAATATCTTACATTTCTTATTTTTTCCTGACTTTCACGGAGGAATTGACCTGTCCTCGCTCTAACGCTGATGCAGCTCCCTGCAAGAACCTAAACCACAACTCCAAACCAATCCTCCTAGTTAGTAAACAAAGCCCCAAAGAAAAGGTTTTGTCATTTGACTCATGTGTTCAATGAATTTTAATTATTGTGCTATTTATAAAGCACATCCACCCACAGAGAAGTTAATCATGCAAAAGGTTTATTAATTTGCCTGTTTCAAAAGACTACCTTGTTAAATATTTGAGCAAATTAATTTCTCGCAAGCTTCCATTTTTTTTCTTGCCTTTATCTATTTAGGCAAACCTTACGCACGCATTACATCTGATGCTTGTGCATATCTTCACCACACAAACCCTTGACAAACTGACCTTGACGTATTCAGTCAGACACACAAATGGATTTAAGCTTCTCTAACATATTTGAAGACTGACTTGACCAAATTATTTGAATCAGCCACCTAGTAGCAGGTTGAGCTTTTTGCAGAAAGAGAACAGGCTTGGCTTTGGACAGATGTCACGTGACAAAAAGGAAATTGCTAATTGGCAATTGGCCACTGTTGGGCATTTTCTATTTTAAATAAAGCTAATTCAGATTTCATAAGTCCAATGGGTAGTGTAGTCAATGGCTACTAATTATATATAGAGGGACATATCATTATTAATATCATGAGTATGCATTTGTAATATTAGATTGTGATTATAGCAATCATAGCACTGCAGAAAATGAGATTCTTAGTTCTGAATTCCCAGGAAATTACACCCTCAGAAGCTTGTTGGTGCCTGAGAAGCAATCAAAAGCCTGAATGGAGAAACATCGGAATAGGAGGTTTATTTACTTTAAAACTCCCATGCAGAAAAGCTGATTTTTTTTACAGTCTGATCTCCACTAAAAGAAAACAGCATTGCCCCACTTTCACTGAGATTTAAAATTTAATTCCTCAGCCTTGTTTTTTCCACTTCCCAAACCTATTTTGGCATACCTACTGTATTTGCTATGCTCAGTATCTTTATGAAATGAGACCCTTTCCATTGGTTTTTCATAATTGAGAGCCCCTTACCATTGTTGACAAGAACATGTAGTGGAAGGCCTCTATCTTTAAATGTCTGGACAAACTCTCGGATGGACCTCAGGGATGTTAGGTCAAGGTGGCAGCCCTCCACTGTGAACACAACAGAAATCCACAAGTTTACCAAAAAGAGATCCTGTGACTGCAGATTTTTCAAACCATTAGTTTATACGGAAGTCCTTTGCGGAGTGTCCAGGCTGTATCCAAATCCTCCAGTACAGGAAATTCAAAGGTCTTATATTATATTATGTAGTTTATTATCAACACTTCACTCAAGGTTTTGGACATTTAATTCAAACCCTTTCAAACAAATTCACAGTAACTGGAAACAAAACCAATTACAAACTAAAGAACCTGTATCAAATGCAGTATTGATAATTGTTAGGAAGTACAGCATTGGTATTCATTTATTATTTCATATTTTATTTATGCTCTAACTGTGACATTTGTTATATTTCTTCTGTCTCAAAGACATCTGTGGTCTGAAGCTGTTGTATACAGCACATTACGTTTGTATCACTATATTATATTGATGTGAAAAACATAATTTATGTCTTTACAGAATGAGTTAGATATCAAATCTACTGAACTAGAAAACCTACAGTAGATATATATATTTTTCTTCTAATGTATTTTACACTTGATTGACTAATTCTAATGTAAGACATTTTCTTTTGGGGGTCAAGAACGAAAATGCACTTTGTACTGACAAAGTCATGCACAATTTCAAATGAAATGAAATTGAAAGTTTAGCTTAACTTATTTTATAGCATTTGAATTGGAATTGAAGCACACAGTGAGTCAGAGAAGACTTTGTGGTTCTGCACACTGAAACATACTTTTTTTCCAATAGACATAAAGCACTGTTCTGAAGATCTGTTTGATTAAGGTATAATGAGATTGAGATTTTTCCCCAATAATTGATCTGGGTCTTGTAGGCACAGTTAACCTTCAGTGCCAGACAACCCATCATCTAGATTTCAAAGCCCACTGTGTGAGACATATTTAATTCAGGCTATGATTCATTATGAGAAAACCGATCTTGACATCCAAACAAATAAATCGGAGACATGCATGATGCAGACTATTTATAATGCTCTTCACATGGATCATTAATTTGTTCTATCAATCACCATGATTCAGTTAGAATGCAAATGAAGTACTGCAAAATACAATCTACAAGACTGCCTCTGTACAATGCACATGGTTATCCTTACTAGAGTACCAAAAGTATTAAAACAAACTTGTCAGAACTAATGTTAAATTCTTTACAAATGCTAGATGTCTATAAACCTGTAATTCTTAGCATGAAATACTAAGCCATAGCTGTAAGCAATGTTGATGTCTGCACATAATCAACGCATTTGCAAAAGGATTATGACTGTAGCTATTTCTGAGTGACTAATATCATCAAAGCAAGCTATACTTCACTGTTAATCTATCCAAACTTCACCCAAAACTTGGCTCTCATACAAATTCATAAATTTCAGCTTAAAAACATATTGAGAAGAAAAAATGATTTTGAAAAACATTTAGAAGGCAGCACATGTGCTCCAACATAGCATATCCAGAATCTATTAAACTGCTTTATAAGGTAGCTTCTGACACAGAAGCAAATATTGTACACATAATTACAAAATACAGTTAGTAAAGAGTCCAGTTAGTAAAGGCATAAAGATGTAAAAAATAAGTTCTCTTCAGTGAGTTTGTATCACATATTTCAAAATAAAACAGTCAAATCATGTACTGTAGGTGAAATCGTCCTGACAAAAGTTTCTTAAAGTCTTTTTCAACACAAAGTGAATAATGAGTTTTAAAATTAATCTAGAAAACTGAGCAGAAGAGAATGCCAGCCATCCATTCAAAACTCGTTTCTCTAAAATACAGCTAGTGAACGTAGTCAGAATCGTGTTCTGTAATGATGTCTTTCAATCTGGCAATCACTGTATTTTCTGAAGACTTCAAAAAATAAATGATAAAATATCACATGTCAGGAGTGGTCTTTGCATTCTTGATGTTTGTCATGATTGTTTTTAAATTACCACGCTACTGATTTTACTGACCCAATGAACCATTTTTCTATAACAATGGTTAGTATATCTGGATATATATATAGTATATCCAGAATCTGTCAAACTGCTTTATAAGGCAGTTTTTGACTTTGAAACAAACATCTACCCACAATACTTTGAGAATCTTACTTATATTCCTTGTATTCCTTAATCAGTGACAAGAACCCCAGTAAATTCTATTTCTGAAGATTAATTTTAATATATAACAGCAATCCCGGGAATACCTCCACAGAAAAAAGCATATTTTTTTAATACAAACTATGAATAAAAACATATTATACAAACTCACTGAAGAGAACTTATTTTTTACATCTTTATGCCTTTCCAATTATTGGGCGGAGCGGTGGCTCTGTGCCTGTGGCTGGAAGGTTGCCGGTTCAAATCCCACAGCTGGCAGAAGAATCCTACTCCGTTGGGCTCCTGAACAAGGCCCTTAACCCCAACTGCTCCAGGGGCGCTGTACAATAGCAGACCCTGCTCTCTGACCCCAAGCTTCTCTCCCTGTCTGTGTGTCTCATGGAGAGCAAGCTGGGGTATGCGAAAAGACAATTCCTAATGCAGGAAATCGTAAAGGGTTAATAAAGTGATGTTATTATTATTATATGTAACGGTGAAAATACAATTAAGGATTAAAAAATGCTCGAGTTAGTTTCATCAGGACCCTTACTCTTTCAGACAAACAGCAACAAAAAAATATGTACTTTGTGTATGTAGGGATGGTATTTCTTTTCAGCTGAAACACAGAAATAAATTAGGGTGACACAAAAGATAAAAGAGGCATTTGGCATCGTCATCCTTCTTGTCAGCAAGATTTTCATTTTCAAAATGGGCGATGATCACCTTTAAATCCTTGAACATCCTGAAAAAAACAGCTGCTTTCCTTACGCTGTGAAGGTAGTACTTTGTTGCACAGTAACAGCAGTTTAAAAGTTGGACATGTTTTGCCTTCCATTACTACGAGTCCCCTTCTCCCCACGGAGTATTAAACTCTTTAACTCTCCCAGGCATGAAACAAATGTAAAACTGAGACAGAAAATCTAAGCTCGTCTGGGGAATGCCCCTGCTACTTTAACGTGAGAGACAGAGCTGAGGAATGGCACTTAAAAGAAGACTCAAGGGATTAAACAGAGAAGGGCTTGGAGGATAGTTCCTCCCCTCAGCAGTAATTGGAAAGCTCCTGCTCAGTGCTTTACAAATGTACAGGCACCAAAGACACTGAGCTTTTCCTGCTTGCAGGCAGAGCTCAGTTACTAGAGTTCTAAAGTTTCTCAACTGGAGACAAGATCTCTAAAGTTTGAGTCCTGTCATACGGGAACAAATGAATAACTATTTCTTACTCACTGGCCTTTTTCCTTGCCTTGCTGATTCAAGCTTCTGCTTCAAGCACCACAACTCACAACACTTCAGCTTCAAGCATTTGAATGTGGTGTGTGTCAGACTTGCCCACCAGTGGAAACTTCCAATAGTCTGAATCCTTTCTTATCAGATGTTAGCTGCTGCAGGCCTCTTCCTAGATCTCTTCCCGATTTCCTGGTCAGCTTCGCCTGCATGTGGCTTTGTCTGGGCAGCAGCCTGGCAAAGATAACCAGCCAGACTGCAGGAGCTGAGACACGCAATCCCAAAGAGCACTGGGAGAATGAAACAAAGACTTAGGGGTGTACAATAATGTTTAGGGTGAAGAGCAACATTTGGCACTTGGATCCTGGAGTCAACACATCCCAAAACTATCCCTAGACTTCTAGTGAAATTAAAAGTATGAAATATGCTGTGGTGACTAATCTGTCCTCTCAAAAAAAAAAGAAAAAAAGTACATCCTTTGGTGCACCCCACTGCCATTTTTACCCCAGTGCTTTGAATGAGGTATGTGTGTGCCCCAGCAGTGTAAGTACACAAACCACTGGAATGACAGGTTTTTTGTTCTGGGTGCAGACACTGGAAACAATATTACAACAAATGTTAGAGGGGCTATGGGTGGCTGAATGGTCGATTTGTACCTGACTATTGTGCCCAGGGCTCTGAAGTGGAGAAATGTCTGTCATTTCAATTATTTTCACAGTTGGGGTAGTACTATGGCACCAAGCCAGCTTCCACTGAGAAATGTGATAGACTGTGGACTTTCTGAAGTGCAGAGATCCCAGTATCCCCTCAATCACATTCAGCAGGTTTACTTATTGAAGCAGTGAGGAAAGTTTTAATGCAAAATTGACATGTGGTAATTGGAAACACAGTTATTGACCCAAGCATTATGAAGGCAATTTGAGCATCGGTGATGTCTTTGAAGAACACTGCTATTTTCTCTTGTGGTATATGACTAACTTATATGGAAAATGGCATTGATGAAAGGAGCCAAATTAGTGAATTCTTCAACTCCTTTGCCTTTCTTATGCACAATTTGAATATAACAGTTTAAAACCATTGTGGCCTTGTTGCTACTTAGGAACAAATGATCCTGGGGTGAGATGCAATTTGAAAAGGTCTCCTTGTATCAAATTACACTCCTAGTTGATTGCATCACTGTAAATCTATTCACCTTGTCTAAAATTCCCCTCCGTCACCTCAGGAGCCCCACAGTTGCTAATGTGCACTTATTACAAGTGCAATCCCATTTGTCTTCCACTTTTGCCTTCACTTGCTTGTCATTGCTGCTGATGCTTGTGGTGCTGATGCTTGTACAGCAATTGGATTTTTGTCAACTGGGCCCTGATAACTCGATTTTTATCTAAACACACATCCAAGTTCTGTAATCGGTTTCCGTTTCAAGGGCCAAGCAGGCACAGGGCACAAGGCAGGACCACACTCTGGCAGGATACCAGTCCACCACAGGGCACAAGGCAGGACCACACTCTGGTCAGGACACCAGTCAATCACAGGATAGGAGACAGAGCTAGACCTTGGACAGTGGGAGGAATGCCACAGAGTACCTGGGAAAGACCCATGTGATGAACAACATGGAAACTTCACAAAGAAAGAGCCAGGTATGACCCTGGACCCTGGAGCTGTGAAGTATCTGGGTAAAACTCA